CTCCGTTTGGCTTGGGGATCTATAGTAAACTCCCACAATGAGGTCACTGTTATTCTTCTCTCCCTTAATTTTGACCCAAATGCTCTCACTTTGGCTTTGAGGTTCTAAATCTTGGATCTCTTCACAGGTATACACATCCCTGACATATAACGCCACTCCTCCTCCTTTCTTGTCTGGTCTGTTTCTTTGAAATAGATTGTATCCCTCCATTATTACATTCCAATCGTGGGATTTATCCCACCAGGTTTCAGTGATTCCTATTATGTCATATTTAGTTTGCTGTACCAGGAGCTCAAGCTCATCTTGTTTATTTCCCATGCTTTGCGCATTAGTGTACAGACATTGAAGTCCATTAATCATTCCCCCGTGTCTCTTATTTAAGGATTTTCTCCTCCCACCACTAGGTCTGCATGCTCTTTGCTCCATTCGGTCTATGACATTTGGATGATCATCTTCATCAATTGATAGACTCCTACCTTCAGGAGCACTGTCTCCCTCCCCCACATTAGTCAGTTTAAAGCCCTCCTGATGAGGTTTCTGAGATTTTTTGCAAAAACATTCCTCCCAACCGTTGTGAGGTGCAGCCCATCGCTTGCCAGAAGTCCATCTTCAAGAAACTGCATTCCGTGATCTAAGAATCCAAACCGTTCCTGTTTGCACCATTTGCGAAGCCAGTTGTTCACTTCCACTATTTTTCCCTCTCTCCCTGGGCCACGTCGTTCAACTGGGAGGACAGATGAGATGACAATTTGTGCATTTAATTGCTTCAATTTCCTGCCCAGAGCCTCGTAATCTCCTTTGATCTTCTGGAGGCTATTGCTTGCAGTGTCATTGGTTCCCACATGAACCAAGAGGAAGGGGTATTTGTCAGTGGGTTTTATGATTCCTTGCAGTCGTTCAGTTACATCTTGGATCTTAGCCCCGGGGAGACAGCACACTTCCCGAGACATCTTGTCAGGCCCACAGATCACTGCTTCTGTTCCCCTCAGTAGGGAATCCCCTATCACCACTACACGCCTCCTCTTAGGTCTGGTCAGGGTTCTTCTGTGAGCTGTCGGTTCCAAGGTCGCCTGGACATTCCCAGAGGACTGCCTTTGCTCCTCGTCTTCATATACCTGATCGACTGTAATGAGGGAGAGATCCTCAAATGGAGTCTGCTCTTCGTCTTCCATGCTAGGGGAAAGGACCTCAAAGCGATTGCGTATTTCTAAACAATCAGAGCGAACCCTGGGCCTCCTACTTCTTTGAGTCACGTTTCTCCATATATCTGGCTCCTGTGTTGGTGAACTAGCCACCTTCTCAGGGGAGTCCCCTGTCTCTTCCTTGGTGGAGACGGTGTGCTCTGTTGCTTCCAAGTAGAGTTCCAGCTCTCTGGAACAGCTGTCAGTAGAACATGAGACTCTTAATATCAGGGTCATGGGTTTGAGCCCCACACTGGGCAAAAGACTCCTGCATTGCAAGGGGTGGGAGTAGATGACCCTTGAGGTCCTTCCCCAACTCTATAATCCTATGACACGTGACATGGATTCTTCATCACAGCATGGAGTCAATTAGTGGAGCACAGCATTATGCGTCCCTGTGCTGCCAACTGTGCTCATGCTTATTCTGAATTGCAACCGACCTTCAAGTAAATGTAATAGCTTCTGCCCACGTTATTCCGTTCTTTACTATTTTAGGATGTAGATTCATTGGGAACAAGGATATAGCTATCTTACCTACGAAACTCATTAAGGAGTCATGTCCACTGATGGCACAGAATACATAATAATAATAATTTCCTATTGCCGTATTTTTCGCTCCATAAGACGCACCTTTTTCCTCCTAAAAATTAAGGGGAAATGTCTGTGCGTTTTAAGGAGCGAATGTGTGGTCAATCGCTGGCTCCCTTTCCGTCTCCGCCCCCTTGCCCAGACCTCCATTGTTGAATGTTCTGCAGACGGAGGCTGTTTGTTTCCCCAGCGACATGTGACTGGCTGCTTAGATTATTTGTCTGGAAACTGTAGAAACGGCTCCCTTTCCTTTCCTAAAGAAGATGCAGAACTGTGAGTTGAACCCCATAAAAACAGGATTTTGTCCCTTTGCAATGTAAGCTCAGCAACTTTGAGCTGATCCTCAAAATGGGGCTTTTCCCCTTTGCAAAAGAAGCTGCACAACTGGGAGCTGATCCCCCCAAAACCGGGCTTTCTCCCTTTCCTCCTCTGGAGGAAAAATACGGTCCCTGCTGTTGCAAAGGCTGGGAATGTTTAAAATCAAAGCCCAACCCAGGCGTTCACGATAGAGCAGCAACTGCTTCTGTGGGACATCAGTGAGCCTAGTTCCTGCTGTGTGAGAACCAGATCTGTCTTTGCCCCTAAAAATGACAGCCTAGCAGTTCCCACCAACTTCCCGCAGTGGTACAGGCTGGTGGGATAGCATGTCGGCTTGAGACAGAAATACATCTGCTGCAGTTTGCCCTCCACATCAGCACAGTACGCTGAGTGAGGGGGCACAAAATAATATTTTTATACAGGGACCTACTCAAAGTTAGGCCGTGATCAGACGTGTGATAGAGTGGCCACAATTATTATGTATTTAGGGCACCAAATCAGGTCCATACAATGGTACCTTGGAACTCTAACAGAATCCATTCCGGAAGTCTGTTCAATTTCCAAAATGTTCGGAAACCAAGCTCCTGCAGCCAATCGGAAGCCGCGGAAGTTGCGTCGGACGTTCGGGTTCCAAAGAACGTTCGCAAACCGGAACACTCACTTCTGGGTTTGTGGCATTCAGGAGCCAAAACGTTTGACTCACAAGGTGTTCGGGATCCAAGTTAAGACTGTATTACTAAAATCCGCTCCTGTCCACATGATTGCCATGATTATTAAGTATGAGTTAAGTATCTCTGAACTGTCTTGAAAAGCCCCCTACTGCCAACTTGTCCCTCATTATGCTGAAATACTATAGGTTGTCATTATTACTTTAAAAAGAAAACGCTGCTTTAAAAAATGATGAAAACTTCTAAAAAGTGATATTAAGAATTAGTATAGTATATGATTAGGTCAATACTATGGAAGATACACACTGGTGTATTACCTGATGTAAGTACTTTTAGTTACTTAATGGCAGTACTCTTCAATCATTGGGCTGCCGTTTCTTCCTTACTGTCAGATCAAAAGGCAGGAGGCAGCATCAGAAAGGGGACAGCATGTGAAAAGATGCAGACCAAATCCCACTGAACAGAATGGGTTTATTGATGAAGAACTGAAATAGTAATAATATGATACATTTCAACTAAAGTCTTCAGGATGAATCTGATACTGTGTTTCTTCAGAGAGAATAGCGCCCCCTATTTGTTATTTGGCTCCATCTGCAATCAGCCCAAGCTGGCATGGCCAACAGCCAGGGATGATCATGAGAGATGTAGTTCAATGTCTGGAGGACCACAGGCTTCCTACCCTGACCTTGTAGAGCTAATTTCACTGATACCCTGGCAACCAACTTGAGCAAAAAATACCCCACTTAAACTACCTAAAATTAGCAGCATTGTTATTGGGGCTGCAAACTGACATGAGATTCTGACTTCTGTTCTGTGAAAGAAACAACTTGGGTGAGCTATTTCTAAAAAAATATTTTTGGCTAAAGTCAGCTACCCGCATATTGTTAGAGCTGGCTATCAAAGAAAGGCTACCTAAAGAAATATTAATTTAAAGAGAAGGGCATTGAATCAGAATGCCTCTGAGGAATATTTTGAATCAAAATATGTTTTATCATGATTTTTATGCTACAAGAACAAACCTCCTTATTCAGCAATCAGCATAAGTCTGAGACTTGCCTCTTATTGCTATGAGTACAGATTTTAATAATATATTATGCCACTCTTCATCTTGCACATGGGGCTCCAAGGTGAACAATTGCTCAATCTAATTTTTCCCTAGCTATCGGGCACCTCTCCAGAAAGATCTGCATTTGTGGGTTTGTCAAGCTTCAGATTTGGATCTTGGGAATATATGAAGCTGCCTTCTATCACTGGATCATCTAGCTCATTTTTATCTACAGTGACTCTCCAGGGTGTCAAACAGGCCCTTTCCCAGGATTAGCTAGGGATGCCAGGGATTCAACTTGGGACCTTCAGCATGTAAAAAATGTTCTCTACCACTGAGTTACTGCCTCTCCCCAAATGGTGTTGGCCATTTGTCTAGTTGTTAAAGTCTGTATACCAGAGTAGGCTCTCAACTTTGGCATCTAAAAGCATGACACTCAGATCCTGGTGGAAATGAGTTGCTTGTCACATCAGAAAGAAGAGGTCACCCTGAAGTCTTAATGTAAGCTTTATTTATTTTTTTAATTTAGCAGTTTTCTAGATTGGGCTTCAGTTAAGCATTCTAGGTAGCGTAAGATAAAGAATGATAAAATCTCAGTGTAAATTATAAAACTCAATTTGGATAAGCAAAACGGGGCACCTGTGTAAAAATTCAGTCTGAAATTTAATGAAAGTATTATACAATCAATATCGCCAGTTCAAAGATGCTTTCCAAAGTGCTGTCAACTGAAAACTGAATCCAGTGTACAATTGCTTGAGAGAATATTCCTTCCTAGGTGTATAAACATAGAGAGTTCTCTCTCAGTAACACAATGCAATGGAGGTGGTTCCAACCAATGCCTTATAATTTACCTTTTGCTGTGTCTAAAAGCTTAGTTTGTCAGCTTTAAATAGGCTAGCACAATAGACCTAGTTCTGGCTGACACTGTAAGTCATTGTCACTTCAGACACATGTTAAGCCTCAGCCTGCACTCTGAAGTGGTTGAATTCAAACACAGGTTTACCATCTCCAAGAGAATTATGCCTTGGGTGCAGTTTTAATACTATTTTCAAGCAAGCCAGACACCCCACACATTCCATTCTGTGCTATTTGTAGCACAGATAACAAGAATGGTTAACTCAGCACCATAACTCGCCTTTTATGAGGAATTGGGTTAGTGTTCCAAAGAGTGAATGCTGTTCCTTTCCTTGTGTTTTCCAGGGTGTGCTGATCTGCACCTCCTAGACATGTTGACACCTACTGAAAGGAAACGGCAGGGCTACATCCATGAACTCATAGTAACAGAAGAGAACTATGTGAACGACTTGCAGCTGGTAACAGAGGTGAGGCTGACTATACACACTTTAACAACAACTTCTCCTGGTGTGTTTTCTCACCCTGGCCTCATCGTAAAAGGGGTCAAACATGAAATTTTTGAAACCCGGAGCTCCGGAGACCTTTGCAGGATTGAATGGGAATTGTGCAACTTGAGAACTTTGGAAATCAAAACAAAAAAAATTCCTTCCAGTAGCACCTTAAAGACCAACTAAGTTAGTTCTTGGTATGAGCTTTCGTGTGCATGCACACTTCTTCAGATACACTGAAACAGAAGTTGCCAGATCCTTCCATATAGTGAGAAGGTGGGGAGGGGTATTACTCAGAAGGGTGGTGGGAATGGGTGATTGGCAGATAGCTGTGATGAGCCTGTTGACGACTCTTAACGACTGCAATAGGTCTTACAGGAAAAAGCAAGGGTTGAGAAGGTGAAAAATGGCTTTGTCATGTATAGTGAGATAAGAATCCAATGTCTTTGTTCAGACCAGGTCTCTCCTTTGGAAATCAAAACTGTGTGTCCCAATTATCCCATGATCAATAGCTTCCCTGAAGGAGACTGCAAACGAATAGGAAAATAAAAGGCATTTTTTGTTCACTGTTTTTCTGAAGGCAGTCTTTTTGGAAGGGACTAAAAAAATACAGGCTAAAATCTAACAGTTTATTGCAGTTTCCTATAGAACATATAGTCCCCCACCACCAACTATTCTAATAGGTGTGGATATGATCCCGCTGCAGTTAAGGCTATTTGAGCTCTGATTGCTTTGAATGGGAGAGTTAAGTATCTTCCGTGGAAACCAAAGGAATTAAAAAGTGCTTATCTTTGACTGCATTTCACTCCATCAAATGATCAGAATGAGGCAGGAAGTGAGATCTGCAGAGCTTTAATTCAAAGCAGTGGCTGCAGATGAATCACAGTGAATAGGCTTATTGTGTGTTCTAAATTGTTCCTTTGAATCTCCAGATCTTCCAGAAGCCACTGATGGACTCCGAGCTGTTGACAGAAAAAGAGGTTGCTATGATTTTTGTAAATTGGAAAGAGCTGATTATGTGCAATATCAAACTACTGAAGTAAGTTGCTTTTGAAAATGTTTTATTGCCAATTACATATTTGGATGCTTTCTCCTTCATTGTCCTCATTTTTCAGCAGCACATGGAAAGAAAAAAAATATTGTAGGGATAATGCATTTTTCTTAAATCTGGTTTTTCTTTCCATGATGATGGCTGAGTATGGTTTGTGCAAAGGGTGGGGTGTATATAAATCTTTACATAGGTGGGACGTAGTTGCAAAATATGATGGTGCAGTAAAGAAGCAATGTGCATTTACAAAATTTTCCTCCAGATACAATTTTGAAGTCAAAGTCAAGTTTTTAAGGGCCATGTTTCTAGTGAGACACATTACACTCCAGCGACTTATGAATCCTACTGTGCAATTTATTTTCTCCTTTTTTAAGCAGTCTCTTCTTTTTGTACAGATCTTGGGTTTGTAAGTGGTGGGAATTTTTAACAGGCCATTTCCAAACAAGCAATGGGAGATCACTACTCACGTAATCCTCTATAACCGGCTGGCTGTTAGGTGCTTAGGAAACACACTGCGCAAGGGACAGGTAGGTGGGACAAGCCACATGTCAATCATCTGGTGTCAGGAGCTTGACAAGTGTGCTGTTGCACCCACCTGCCAGAGTTAACCTGCTAGGCCAAAGAAGTTTCCTACCCCTGCTCTATATTAATGCATAAATTATGGCTAACCTGTTATGGTTTGATTGATCTGACTTCAATATCACTCAAAGCAAAAAACCTCAAAGCAATTTACAATAAGACAGCATGGTTTCATTACCATAATAGATCTCTGCTGCTTTTATATGGAAACATAGTAAAGGTAAAGGGACCCCTGACCATTAGGTCCAGTCATGAATGACTCTGGGGTTGCGACACTCATCTTGCTTTATTGGCCAAGGGAGCCGGCGTACAGCTTCCGGGTCATGTGGCCAGCATGACTAAGCCACTTCTGGCGAACTAGAGCAGCACATGGAACTGCCATTTACCTTCCCGCCGGAGCGGTACCTATTTATCTACTTGCACTTTGATGTGCTTTTGAATTGCTAGGTTGGCAGGAGACATAGTACAACTATATTAAACTGAACATGTATCAGCATCTCTCCCTGTTCTCTGTTTTGCGTTCAGAGCGCTGCGTGTTCGTAAGAAAATGTCAGGAGAGAGGATGCCTGTCAAAATGATTGGTGATATCCTGACAGCACAGCTTCCGCACATGCAGCCTTACATTCGATTCTGTAGCTGCCAGCTGAACGGAGCAGCCCTCATCCAGCAGAAGACAGACGAAGTCCCCGAGTTCAAGGACTTCGTTAAAGTAAGAAAATATCCACGTTGGTAATTTATTCAAAGAAACTCGTGCATCTACTTTCTGGGTTTAATTTATTTAAAAAGAGCCATATAGGAAATGTAACCAAAAGCAGCTTCACACAGTTTAACTGATTTCTCTGCATTTGTCCTATACTAGTGACCAATTGACTGGAGATTAGATGAAAGTGGCAGTGGAGATAGTCACTACACTGCCACCTAGGGTTGCCAACCAGGATCCTGATTCCGTCATGTTCCTCTATACCTGGGTCATGGTTTAGAGACCTGTCAACAAGCCTTTTGACATCTTTTCAAACTGAAGTCATCTGTACAGTGTGGCAGGTTGCTTTTGAAAATCAGCAGAGTTTCAAAAACAGTTTGTGATTCAGCATGGCAGACTGCATATATATATATATATATATATATATATATGCAGGTTTTGGTGTCCTCGGGTGTCTTCCCGTGTAAAAGTTGGGGTGTCTAGGCGACGTTTCGACTAATATGCCTAACCTATATATATATATATATATATATATATATATATATATATATATCCTCCTTGAGTGCACAAAAGAGGCATGAAGAGTTCTGCTTGCTCGGGCCAAGGACCCATCTGTTCCCAAAATCATGTTTCCAAAAGTGGTCAACCAAATCCAATAAAAAGCTGTTTGTATTGCCACGTTGTGGAAAAATTCTGTACTCTTGCTATGAATAGACAATAGAGGTTCATGGCAAGCGAGCGAAGAAAATATATCTATTATATAATAATATATGCTCCCCCAGGGCAGTGCCTATGCGCTGAAGGACATAACAGAGCCTTGGTTCTTCCCCCACCCCAGTGTGGATCTTAGACTTTCAGAAGTAATGACAGAACTGTATGAGTCTCACATATTCTGCCTAGCACTTCACTCCTCATGGTCACAGGATATTAGCTCTCTGTTCCCCCTAATGGCCTGATGCGATAGTTGTGGTTCGAGGACCCGACCCCCGCGAAGTAAAATGAAGACACAGGGACACGTGATATAAGGTTAATGGGCTAGAAAAAGGCCACAACTTTATTGATTACAGCAATGAAAAGGTATTGGCTTAGGCATTGGATCGCGAAACAAGTGGGTTTATTCACCAGGGGTTCATCACCTGTTGATGCTAATCCAACTATAGGCTCACCCCTGATGTCACCGAGGGTCGTGCCATGGCCTCCCGCCAAGCAGGCTTTGGATGGAATACACGACCGCCAGATTCCTTTAACGGAATACCCCTAGAAATTGAAGGCATAGGCGATGGCCACACCTAGCACTTCGACACACCACAGCACATTATTCCAATGCCTAACCTACCCACCAATACCACCAAAAAGGTGTGACGATTGCTACGAGGTAGGCGAAAAAACCAAAAAGCCTAATGCCAAATGGAAAAACTCCTACCAGGCCCCCCGGGCAACCGGGGCGACCAACCTAAGGTCCATAGCAAGGCCAATGACCTAAGCCCTAACTCAAAGGGAGTGGAGGGTGGGTGACTCGCACAGGACGACAAAGAGAAATGAGGCCAGAGGAGAGGCTGGCACTGCAGCATAAAGGCTGCTGGACACGCCCCCCCCATGGCACCTGGTTGGACGGCCACCGGGGGGGGGGGCGTGAGTGCCAGCCAGGTGAGCTGGAGGCAGGGGGCAACGCCTCCTGCTAGGAGCGGTGTTCGGGCTCCCGTCCACAACCACTCCCCTCTCTTTCAGGGAGGAGAGTCTTTGTAGTGTGCCTATACACATGCACCAGGGTAGTATAGAGAACCCTTCTGCATGTGGGTATTGTGCCCATTCAGGAAAGGATTATACGCAAGAATTGGAAATGGAAATTCTGTCTTTTTTACCCTTGCTTATGTGAATTGGTTATAAATGCTCTTCGGCTTTGTATCGCCTTCTTTCCATTCTGGGACAGGAGCATGGGGTGGGAGGGGGGTCTTCCCTTGCCCATTGTACTTGTGGAATGATGGCGTTATTTTGAGAGTTCTGTTTTTAAAACCTAGGTGGCTTTCCCCCTCCCCTCCTTCGCTTTTGGCCTTGCTGAAGCATGTGTGTTGACAGATAATTAGATACAGGAAGGTGTTAAATGCTGAATTTTCACTGCTCTACACATTATACACAGTGTGATTCCTCCCAATACAACACATAACATAAATGGAATAACATGTGGTATATCAACACAGACCTGTAAACACTTGAACAGTTGTTTCCTTGAGACATACGCTTAACTGTTTTACTGAATCTTAGAATACAACAAACAACTAGTAATTGTGATCCAGGCCTCATTTTTAAACTATTCTGTCTCTGCCACCTAAGAGAAACAGTGTTTGAGATCACATAATAAAAAGTCTACTTGGATTAAAAATGTTGACTCAAGTGTACCAATAAAAGAACCGCCTGCTTATTTCCAACCACAAAAGACCATTTATGGCCTCGAGAACAGACCTAGCCTTTGTCAACGTTCTGAAGGAAGAACACTTCACAACTGGTGAGCAACCACTGAAATTGCTTCCTGGCATGTCCTCACCACTCCAAGGAAGCCACATTTGTAGAGAATAAATGGAGACCACAGTGTGCTTTGGGCATTTTTGTAAATACTTGTGTCTGACCTTCATAAACTAGCTGCCAACATTTTTTGCTCTCAATATTTCAGAGATTAGCTATGGAGCCTCGCTGTAAAGGAATGCCATTGTCAAGTTTTCTGCTAAAGCCTATGCAACGAGTAACGCGATATCCTCTGATAATTAAAAATGTAAGTCCTTTTGCTAATGTGTGGAAATCTGTTGCCAAAACTGCTATAGTTAAGAAGCCAGAGTCAGAGTTTAAGTTTTTCTTGCATGGGATCCGTATTTCTATAGTCTGTTAACTCATGAGTTTGTGCAGTATGTCTGAATTCAAACCGGGGATGCAAAGGAACAATAGGGAGCACATTAAAAGTTAGTATTTTTTCAACTGGGTGCCTTGCACAACTTCTGGTGTCTTCTATAGGACAACAGAAAAAGACAGCAAAATGCTGAATTTTTGATGCAAAGGAAGATCCGGGAACACGCTTAGAGTGAGCTCCTGATTTTTCTTCTTCTTCTTCCTCTTCTTCTTCTTCTTCTTTGGTCATGGCTTGAACTTTTCCATACATGAAATCGGGCTCAGGACTTGGTGGTCTGCCCAGAATGGCCCAGCAGGCCAACTGCTTGCTGGGCCTACTGACTGTGAGTCAGTAGATTAAGAATGACTCCCCTGAAGACCTCAGGGATTGGACAGGGATATAACCAATTAGGTGGCTCTTGGGATATCTTGAACCCAAGTTGTTAAAGGCCTTATAAATTAATACAGGTACCTTGAACCTGGCCCTGTAATGTCTAGGCAGCTGGTGCAAGCTTTTGAGCATGGGAGTTATTTGCTGGCAATAGTCTTTTCCCATCAGCAGTCTAGCTGCAGCGTTTTGCACCACTTGGTGCAAAAGAGAAATCCTTCCCCTTCTTAGTGCAAGTTGTTTTCTTTAGTTATGTGAATTGTTTGTAGCCTGGGGTAAGGGGACTGTTCTCTTCCTCATCTTTCTTCACCTCCAGCATGCAGTTTAATCAGAAGGATAGACCCTGACCTACAGGACAAAAAGTCCAGTGGGGACTGATCAGGCCCATTTTTCTTTAAATAAGTGATTGTGTAAGAGAATGAAATGTTCCATTTTTATTAGATTAAAACAGGGAAGATAAAAAAGGGATTGATTTGAAGAGAAGTAATCTTTATAGTGTTTTGGCAATCAAGAGGCAGTGATGTTTTTCTTTCCATTGATTTAGGGCAGGATTTATTTAATAACATTTACTTTGGGTGCTTAATGTTATTTATATCTGTAAAGATATATTTAATTTTTCAGGTGCTTAAGAAGGAATAGATATGCAGTTTTATAAGAACCTGATCCAGTTTATTTGCCTGCAGATATTAGAAAATACTCCTGAAAATCACCCTGATCACAGCCACTTGAAACAGGCTTTGGAGAAAGCGGAAGAACTTTGTTCTCAGGTTAATGAAGGGGTGCGTGAGAAGGAGAACTCAGACAGGCTTGAATGGATCCAGGGTCACGTTCAGTGTGAAGGACTATCAGAGGTAAAGCTGAAATACGTAGAATCAGACTGTAGTTACTAATCTTCCAGAAAAGATGGCTTAGGAAACAATGCTGATAAACTTCTCTAGCTAAAGAGATGCTGGTAAGTCTTCACAAATTCATCCTGCTCTTCATTTGGCATTTTTCCCTGCCAATTTTCTCTTTCCACTTATCTCTTGAACCCGTTAACATCAGCCATCTGTCACTTAACGTTTCTGCAATGAAATGAGGACCACAGCTTTTATTCAGTTCATAATTTCCCTTCCCCACCCCCCATAAAGTATGTTGCAAAAACTAGCTTTGGTTCAGAATTCAGAAAAGTTAAGCAAGTTCTGTTTACAAAGGATGCAAAGTGGAATTGCTAGCCATATCACTCTAGGGTAATTGAGAAATTTCTGGAATGTATAAAGTAGGCATTCCAGACAAATAACCACTTGAAACTTTTGTGCATTTGTTTTTTACTTACTTACTAAGGCCCGTCAACGTGCCTTGTGGTTTTAGCATTTTGTGGTATAAAAGCAAGACAACTCCCTGCCCCCAAAGAGTGTACAGATTACAATTCAGCACAGTGGAGGGAAATGGTCAGCTAAACTAGGTGAATTCATTTTAAATCTTTGACACCAATCTGTAATAACTCACCTACCATGCTTGCACATCAGGTTAAGGTACAGTGCGCAAGACAGAACGAGCTGCTGCCATCTCATATCCCCCTTTTTCACTGCACATGTGTGTGGAAAGGAGATGGGGAGAACATGAGCCCAATGATCACGGCCTCTCATTCCTACTTGTGGACATCACACTAAACTATGGTTTAGTTTGAGCTGCTAATACGGCCATTAATTAGGTCTACACATTCCTCCTACTTCCTATACAAATGTGTAGCACCAGTGAAGAAAATCTGGCATCAGTCAGAATCCTTCGCCTCTCATTGTAAGTAAACCCACCCTTGTGGAAGGGTACAAGGGCAAAGGGATAATTCTAGGAATAACAGAAGGGTCCCTGCCATTCCACCAAGTGCTGGCACTTCACTGCTGAGAGTCAAGCACTAAGCCATCATTATGCCGGCAAATGAGCTGAAGCTGTTGTCAGATTTCTGCAGATTCTGTCAGTTTTCTGCAGCTGTATCCAACGGTATCAGAACAAGTATATTTTTATTCATCTCACTTGTTCTGGTTTCCCCCCTCCCCACCCTCCCTTTCTGTTCCCATCAGCAACTTGTTTTTAACTCTGTTACAAACTGCTTGGGGCCACGCAAATTTCTACACAGTGGGAAACTCTACAAGGCCAAGAGCAACAAGGAGCTGTATGGCTTTCTGTTCAACGACTTCCTCCTGCTGACACAGATAATAAAACCTCTCGGCTCGTCTGGCACAGATAAGGTCTTCAGCCCCAAGTCTAACCTGCAGTATAAAATGTACAAAACGGTAAGAAATTATTTTAAATGGAAATTCAGAAATATTGATAACGTCCAATTACTTTTTCACGTGAAAAAGGTGTTTAGGCAACACAAGAAATTTCTTTGTTGTTGTTTAGTCATTTAGTCGTGTCCGACTCTTCGTGACCCCATGGACCAGAGCACGCCAGGCACTCCTGTCTTCCACTGCCTCCCGCAGTTTGGTCAAACTCATGCTGGTAGCTTCGAGAACACTGTCCAACCATCTCGTCCTCTGTTGTCTCCTTCTCCTTGTGCCCTCCATCTTTCCCAACATCAGGGTCTTTTCCAGGGAGTCTTCTCTTCTCATGAGGTGGCCAAGGTATTGGAGCCTCAGCTTCAGGATCTGTCCTTCCAGTGAGCACTCAGGGCTGATTTCCTTAAGAATGGATAGGTTTGATCTTCTTGCAGTCCATGGGACTCTCAAGAGTCTCCTCCAGCACCATAATTCAAAAGCATCAATTCTTCGGCAGTCAGCCTTCTTTATGGTCCAGCTCTCACTTCCATACATCACTACTGGGAAAACCATAGCTTTAATTATACGGATATTTGTTGGCAAGGAAATTTCTTATTTGGATATATTTTCTGTATAGGAAAACCACATGGACACCACAAATGTGTCTGCTTTGCAATATGAGGTGAGATCTTTCCAGGCATATTTACCAGGTGCAGGGAACCTTTGGCCCTCCAGATGCTGTTGAACTACAACTCCCCTCACCCCCTGTCATTAGCAATGCTTGCTGGGACTGAGGGCACTTGTAATTCAGCAATGTCTGGAGGGTCAGAAGTTCCCCACACCTGATGTATACTAATAATGAACTCACCTGATGATTGCCAACAGGACTGTAGTCAAACAGGGCCGCTGAGGTGTCAGCACATGTAAGGAAACAGCAAGACCTGCAGACACCTGAAAACCTTGGGGGTGGCAACTAAGGCGGAATCCCTCAAAAGAACCTAGTGAGGATGGAACAAACAGACACAATGATGAACTGAGAGGGGGGCAGGAAGGGAGAATGGAATAATAGCTTCCTAGCTGACTGCAACATTGTACAGGAGCACTCCACTCAACAAGTTTTGATGCACCGTAAATATAGCCCTTTTTTAAGGTGCACACATAAGTACACAATGATGCTTTCAGGAAAGAGTAACCCGTATTGTGAAGTGACGATGGGCTCTCAGTGTCATATTACCAAGACTATACAGGACACACTGAACCCCAAGTGGAATTCTAACTGCCAGTTCTTTATCAAAGATTTGGAACAGGATGTGCTTTGCATAACAGTGTTTGAGAGGGATCAGTTCTCACCAGATGGGGGGCAGGAAGGGAGAATGGAATAATAGCTTCCTAGCTGACTGCAACATTGTATAGGAGCACTCCACTCAACAAGTTTTGATGCACCGTAAATATAGCCCTTTTTTAAGGTGCACACATAAGTACACAATGATGATGTAAAGATGTGAAGTGAGAATGCAACAAATTGGTTTCAGAAGACATGCCCACCATGTAATTGGCTGCATGTAATAGCCCTGGTTTAGTTACCATGTAATATGTGAGCTAGCCCCCTGTTTTTACCATGCTAGTGAATAAAGAAAAGCATAGGTTGCTACTTGCTATGAGTGGGAGTAAAGCTGACATTTAATGCATTATTGACACATTCCTTCAAGGAAAAACATCACAACATTTCTGGCTGTAGAGTCCCCACCCTACTCTATCATCATTACGCTAAAGTGTTGTGTGGATATTGGCCCAGGCCAAAGCTTTATCTGGATTGAAGCCCAGGCTAGAAACTCTCAAATATTTTCATGGTTCAGGCAGATAACGCCAATGAGTATATGTATCTTAATCCAAGAGAAAAGCTATACTGTGTTAAGGGTCCAGGTTTCTGTTAACTAGCTATAGATGGTTGAAAAACACCTCTTTTTTGTTTACTTTTATTGAGTTTTGGATTTGCTTTTGGAATACCATTTCCCTGGTGCAGTCTGGTAAGATGGTTACCCTTTTTCTTTATGGTAAAGTCTGTGAATGCTAAAAATCACATAGAAATTGAACCATGCTAGTAGACAACAGTGGGATCTGCAACAAAATGTTGCACTGTAGAGTTTTTGTAATTGTTTTGTTTTCTCTCTGTATATATTTATTTCAGTATATTATTGAACTATGTGCTTTCAATAAGAAGATTTTTTTTTAAAGTATCTTAACAATCGCAACAGCTAAAAAGCTTTCTACTCTCCCTTAAAAATTGGTTTCTGAAAAATGGTCCTGGGTGGGATGGAGACCAGAAATGAATTTTTGTATGAAAGGATGTGTGGTTTTTGTTCTGGTACTGATCACAAATTCCTGGGCTGAGCATGTGCTCAGAGGCACTCCTAGTTCTTAAGGGTATGTCTGCCCAGCTGTCCCAAGCACAGCATGCTAGTCATTTTTTTTGCTGAACTTGACTCCTGTTACAGAGCATTCATTCTGACTTGACCTAGCTTAACACTTAACTTTTTTTTCCCTTGCAGCCCATATTTCTAAACGAGGTCTTGGTTAAACTACCCACGGATCCTTCTGGCGACGAGCCCATCTTTCATATCTCTCACATTGATCGGGTCTACACACTCCGTGCAGAAAGCATAAATGAAAGGTAAAAAAATATATCTGTATTGGCACTGAACATAATGGGAATATGTAAAAGCTCTTACACACACACACACACACACACACACACACACACACACACAGTTTCATAATGAGATTTCTCCCATTTCTTATGTTGCCTTCTTTTTTACTTGCACTTTCCCTGATTTGTTTATCCTCCCCTAGCAACCATGGGCTGCCTGCTTTGAGTCTTAGAGAAATTTTAACTGGGAAAACAGTGCAGGGAAAAAGGTTAAACCTCCTCTGTACCAGCACTACTATCCCAAACTGAATTGGGGTCCCCAATATTAACTTGGGGGGCCAATATTAACTTGAAAACATGCAACAATGGCAGGAAAGGTCCTATTCACAGATCTCTTGCATCACATCCAGATTTCTCCTGAGAACTAAACATGCAGTCGTACCTTGGTTTTCAAACAGCTTAGTTCTCAAATGTTTTGGTTCCTGAACATCGCAAACCCGGAAGTGACTGTTCTGGTTTGTGAACTATTTTTGGAAGCCGAACGTCCAATGTGGGTTGTGAAGCTTCCGATTGGCTGCAGGAGCTTCCTGCAGCTACTCAGAAGCTACGCTTTGGTTTCCAAATGTTTTGGAAGTTGAACGGACTTCCAAGGTATGACTGTAATGCAAAGAAGTTAATGCCTTTATCTAGATCTTCTTCCTACCTGCATGCAGTCAGCTTTGCTCACTTGCATGTACTTCATAATGATACGTAATTTCCTTTCCACCTTCTCTTTCTCTCTCTCAAGGACGGCCTGGGTTCAGAAAATCAAAGCCGCTTCTGAACTATACATAGAAACAGAGAAGAAGAAGAGGGAAAAGGCCTATTTAGGTACCGCAATGGGGGTACAGTATTTAGACGTTTTCCCCAAAATTTCAAGAGAGTATTTTAATGACTCTTGCCTGTTCTTGCCACAGTCCGATCCCAAAGGGCAACCGGTATAGGAAGGTTAATGGTGAACATTGTTGAAGGTATTGAACTGAAGCCCTGCAGATCCCACGGTAAGAACTTCATTTCTCTCTGTGTGTGTATAGAGAAGTGTGTGTTGTGTGTAAAATGTGACAAAAAGAAGGGAAACTTCTTGGGTGCTTTGATCATTTAATGTAAAACAGGTTGTCAGGGGGGAATGTAAGTTTTGTAAAATGGTGTTTTGTTGCACTCTATATAGACTGATGGGATGCGGGTGGTGCTGTGGGTTAAACCACAGAGCCTAGGACTTGCCGATCAGAAGGTCGGCGGTTCAAATCCCCGCAACGGGGTGAGCTCCTGTTGCTCGGTCCCTGCTCCTGCCAACCTAGCACTTCGAAAACACTTCAAAAACTTCCTGACAGTAAGAGCTGTTCGACAGTGGAATTTGCTGCCAAGGAGTGTGGTGGAGTCTCCTTCTTTGGAGGTCTTTAAGCAGAGGCTTGACAACCATATGTCAGGAGTGCTCTGATGGTGTTTCCTGCTTGGCAGGGGGTTGGACTCGATGGCCCTTGTGGTCTATTCCAACTCTATGATTCTATGATTCTACGTCAAAGTGCGAGTAGATAAATAGGTACGGCTCCGGCGGGAAGGTAAACAGCGTTTCTGTGTGCTGCTCTGGTTCGCCAGAAACGGTTTAGTCATGCTGGCCACATGACCCGGAAGCTGTACCCTCGGCCAATAAAGTGAGATGAGTGCCGCATCCCCAGAGTCGGTCACGACTGGACCTGATGGTCAGGGGTCCCTTTACCTTTATATAGACTGATATAGCCAGCAAATTTTAAAATAGTGTTAGTGATTTTCACATGGTGAAAGCCTCCCAACAGTCAAACAGAAGGATTACCAACCACTACACACCCAAACACCCCGGAGAAATGTCCACCCAAATTTGCCACCCATGGTATTCATGGCCCTATTTATTGGCCAACACCATGAGGCAAGGTGAGCCGACCTCCTCAGGTGGCAGGATCCACAGGGGCAGATCTGGCACCCAATGAATGCATCATTCGCTGTTGCTACTGCTGTTCTTCCTCCTTGTTTCCAGTGTAGAACTTCACTCCCCCTTGTTCCTGGTGTAGGTCTTCCGTCACCCCTTCTTCTTTGGCGAGCTGGTGGGGTGCCATTTTGTGGTTCGCTTCTGGTGCCAAAATGTCTTGGGCCAGCCCTGGCTGGGTCAGATTTGATGTAGAAAGCAATCTTGTATACCGGATGCCAGATTCAGTTTTGGCATACTCACCCACAGGCAGCACAGGCTGCCCGATGCATTTGATTATTTTCTTCGCTAAATCAAATGGTGGAGGTACAAAAAGCCTTTTCCGATTCTCTCGTGTCAAAACCACAGAAGCAAGTTACCAAATTTGTGTGTGCAAATGTTTGACCACGGCTGTGCATCTACTTGCCTTCTGCTTTCAGGAAAGAGTAACCCGTATTGTGAAGTGACGATGGGCTCTCAGTGTCATATTACCAAGACTATACAGGACACACTGAACCCCAAGTGGAATTCTAACTGCCAGTTCTTTATCAAAGATTTGGAACAGGATGTGCTTTGCATAACAGTGTTTGAGAGGGATCAGTTCTCACCAGATGGTAAGTGACATTCTTACTTCTGAGCTTGGTCTTTTGGTTATATACACGTCTATGTGAGTGTATGACAACTTAGGGTATCTCATTTTTGCTGTCCCTCTGCTGAGGTCCATGTGTGTGGGCTGAGGCTCCACCTTGGTCTCTAGGCAGGAGTGAAAAAAACTCCTAGATACAGTACATGATTGGGGACGCGGGTGGTGCTGTGGGTTAAACCACAGAGCCTAGGACTTGCCAATCAGAAGGTCCGCGGTTCAAATCCCCGTGACGGGGTGAGCTCCTGTTGCTCGGTCCCTGCTCCTGCCAACCTAGCAGTTCAAAAGCACATCAAAGTGCAAGTAGATAAATAGGTACCGCTCTGGCGGGAAGGTAAACGGTGTTTCCGTTTGCTGCTCTGGTTTGCCAGAAGCGGCTTAGTCATGCTGGCCACATGACCCGGAAGCTGTACGCCGGCTCCCTTGGCCAATAAAGCGAGTTGAGCACCGCAACCCCAGAGTCGGTCACGACTGGACCTAATGGTCAGGGGTACCTTTACCTTTTTACAATACATGATTGGTTCCTGCTTAGTTTTTTGCTCTGGCCTGCACGTAGCAGAGGAACTCCCCATCTCCTGTTTCCATCCCTTTTTCTGTCAATATTTATTTTCTTGTTCCTATTGCCTCTATATACTGCTTCCATTAATTGTTTAGTTTGAAGGTTTTGCTGCAGGTTTATGTCCCTGCCCCTTCTTCTCTAGCGCTAGAACACCAGTGAAATGAAACTGAAAATCAAGCAATCTCCATTGACAGATTATAAAACCCCTGCATGCGTAGCAAGATTTTCTGCTTCTGTTTTTGGTTTGCTCATGCTGTTACTGAATTAACATCTTGCCAGAGGTGGTTCTTCATGGGAGCAGGGAATATGTAATTTCTAACCGTTATGTATGTTTTCTGTTTCAGACTTTTTAGGCCGAACAGAAATCCGAGTAGCAGACATTAAGAAGGACCAGGGCTCAAAGGGGCCAGTGACAAAGTGTCTTCTCTTGCATGAAGTTCCAACGGGAGAGATAGTTGTCCGACTGGATCTGCAGCTGTTCGATGAACCTTAAAAAAGGAAGACGCTTCTTCTAACCTGAAAACACTGCAATAGGCGCCTACAAAATCTGTCTAGGAATCCTCAGACCTTTTATATGAAACAAAATACTTATCAATGCCACACAACTCTTTGTAGCTGGATAATCCTTGCAGAAAATTGAATTCCAAGTTTGTGAGGAAAATGTCACTTTTTTGGGGGGGGTTTGATTTGTTTTTTGTTTGTTTTATTTCCTGTGGAACTTCTGCTGTAGCTTTCAGGATTTCTAGAAAAACAGAGCTGTAGCCTGTGCTAAAACACTGCACATTTTTCTGGGTACTGCAGCATGTGGTGTCAACAAGAGAATGTGGCACTGACATGTCTTTGCAGACTTTCTGTAAATTACCCCTAGAAATGTTGTGCCTATTGCCCCACAGAGTGGTGTATAAACATAATGTGAATATATTTATATAGAAAATACCTATGACATGAATGAATTCTTGCCATGTAAGATATTTGGGTTTCTTTTAAGAAATTTATGATCTTTGAACCTGTTTTTGAAAAATAAAAGGGGTGGGGGGGGGGGAGAAGAAGAAAAGACTATTCCAAGTTGAAATTTAAATGACAGTTGCCCATAATCTGGAAGGCTCTCAATGAGTGGAAGGTTGGTTTTTCCAAGTATTTATTAGGAAGCAGCAAATATTAGGTGGATTCCCGGTCTAGGGACCAGTAATTCAAAGCGTACCCCCCATTTAGGAAGAATATAAATGGGACCTGATCCCTGCTGCTTCCCATTGGGGTGTCTTTCACCCAAATGGAGTACTGTGTATCCACACATCAATGCTTTTTGTGGTTACATTTCAATGGGGTTGTAAATAATTGTAGACCAAGGTTTGGTGGAGTCGTTCTGTGTGTTCTACTGTACCATTTAAACATGATTAAACTGCTGCTAAATTGCGCAAAGGCAGTGACAAGAAAACAACTGCTCTAGCTCAGGAAAGCTGAGGCTAGCAGCAGTCAGAAGGGACTTAATTTATTGAAAATAGTACTGTGCCTAAATAAATTTGACACCATGGTTTTGAAATCAGGGTGGTAGCATACTGTAGCTCAACGAAGTGTTAACTGCAAAAGTGGTTCACTAAAAAAATTTCAGTTTCAACATTGGGTGTCACAAGTTTTTGCAAAGGGATTTATTGCTATGTTGCAGATGTAAGGATTCACTCTCACAGTGACCCACATAGGACAACCTTGATTCAGCAAAGCGCTTCGAAGTCATTCGAAAAAGAGAAGTATGTTCTTGAGAACTTTGCTGAACTAGGGACATTAGTGGTGGAATTTTGCGAGTGGGCTCATTTCAGCACCAGGCACATTCATTCTTTGTGTTTCCAGTTCTTCAGTTTGTTACCCAAGGATCATGCAGAAATGGGTATTTTTGTAAGGACTTTAAGAATGGGAGGTGTTGACTGTTCTGTTAGCATGTCAATGTTCTTGTGAAACGTGTTGGCTTTACTGTTCTTTGCATGTTGTTTTTGGTATCAGTTTCCATGTTTCCTGTGGAGATGGTGTTCTCTAGCACAGCAAAATTTTATGATTTCCATTAGGAAATTAGGATAGCTTTATACTTGATAGGTAGCTAAGGTCTGGTGATAAGTGTAAACTGTGCTTGAAAGTGTCTGTGTGCTATTATTTCCAAGGAGACCACTGTATTATTTTCAGCAATTATTTTTTAAAAAATCCTGTATGTTGGAGGGACGAAAAAGTTTACATTTCATACTTTTAAGAATCGCTTTATTATTTATTTATTGAAGATAGTGTAGAATTTTGTATCAGAAATGACATACTTATGTATTTTTTGGAACAGAGAAACACACTTTAGTTAGAAACTTTCAAATGACCAAGTTTTAGAGGAAGTTTAACTTAACAGGCATGCAATTGTTTACCACTGAATGGTTGAAAACACAATTTAAAAAAAAACTTTTAAGTTTCTATTTTTCAATGTTGGTACAAAAATGTTTCAATTAAAAGTATGTAAATAGAACTAAACCCATGATTTCCTTTTTCCATATCAAAACATTTTATGAAATATAATGTATATGAAAATAACACATTGTTGTGGTAGAGGAAAAAAGGTACAAATCCTTTAGTGGCAGAAAAATATTAAATGTCATCGTTCTAACCTTCTTTGGCTGGGCTAATTTTACTCAGAGTTGTAATGAAGATGAGTGTTACTGTATTTTTATAGATACAAAAATAATCATAATGTGGAAAGAATCCTATCATTCAGACTGTGAAAAAAGCCGGGACCATACTCCCTGAGGTGAACATGAATTATCTGTCTTTGGAGAAGCTGGGGGACTCGAAGAGGAAGAAAGGGATTGCCTATATAACCCTGATAGTATATTCTAGGGGTGGGGAATTTGTGGCCTTCCAGATGTTGTTGGATTAGAACTCCCAACAGCTCCAGCCAGCATGGCTAATGGTCAGATAAGATAGGACTTGTAGTCCAACACCACCCAGAGGACCATAGATTCTTCACCCCTCAGATTAATTGCTTTCCCAAGCTCCTTTCTAAATCGCTCTTGCCATTTTTTAACTGCAAAAGAAAATATTAATTCCAGGTTTAAAAGGAAAACAGAAGCCTTAGGGAATTAAGCACTTAAGAGTAATAGACGTATGGAAAAACTTTCTGACAGTAAGAGCTGTTAAACCATGGAAGAGTCTCCCTCGGGAGGTGGTGGACTCACCTTCCTTGGAGGTTTTTAAGCAGAGGTTGGATGTCCATCTGTCATGGTTGCTTTAGCTGAGATTCCTTCATTGCAGCGGGGTGGACTAGATGACCCTTCCAGCTCTAAGATTCTACGACCTTGGAAAGACGAATCGTAGGTCCAGTTTTGATCACAGTAACATGCTGCATAATATTCTGCAGAACTCTTAACTTCAGCCTATTAACAGTAATTCCAGTCACTCTACACAGATCTCAGCACCCTCAAAAAATTACGTTCCACAAACACTGGTCCTTATCAGTCTGCATAAATAAGGTTCCATTATAAAATCACAGAACTGTAGAGCTGGAAGGGACCCAAGGGTCATCTAGTCCAGCCCCCTGCAATGAAGGAATCTCAACTAAAGCATCCATGGCAGATGACCATCCAACCTCTGTTTAAAAACCTCCAAGGAAGGAGAGTCCACAACCTTTTGAGGGAGTCCATTCTACTGTCGAACAGAAAGTTCTTCCTTATGTTTAGTTGAAAGATCTTTTCTTGCAACCATTGGTGTGGGTCCTACCCTCTGGAGTAGGTTAAAATAAGCTTTCTGTATCTTTTATGTGACAGTCCTTGATATATTTGAAGATGGCTATCGTATCTCCTCTCGGTCTCCTCTTTTTCAGGCTAAACAAACCCAATTCCCTCAACCGTTCCTCATAAGGCTTGGTTTCCATACCCTTGATCATTTTGGTTGCCCTCCTCTGCACACATTCCAGCTTATCAATATCCTTCTTAAATTGTGGCACCCAGGACTTGACGCAGGACTCCAGGTGTGGTCTGACCGAGGCAGAATAGAATGGTACGATTACTTCCCTTCATCTGGACACTAGCATTCCAATAGGAGATTATGCCATGTCAATATCGTTAAGTTGTGTAATCTGCATGCAAATTATTACCCCTGGCACTGCATTTATATTTGAACAGCTGAATGGCCAGCAACAGAGTCCATTTAGTGCTTTAACATTAATTTAGTAAAAATTAGCCAAGGTCACGTAAGCCATTCCTTTGGAAAGATTCTACACGTAACGTTCATAATCAAAAATTTATTTAATCATTCAAAAGTGCCATTTTAAAAGTATGCTGGACCATAAGAGCATCAGTCAGTTTCAGGGGGGGCTGATCACTCACAAACATTTGTCAAAACCAAGAAAGAAATTTCAATACGATTGCAACTGCCAATTTTGCAGTCACTAGCACTTAACAGCAAACCTATGATAAAGGAATAATTCTTGCAAAAAGGTATTGAGATGGTGACTTAAAGGCAAAGGAACACTAAATATTGATCCATTTCAAACTACCAAATCCAAACATTGAAGCACCCACAACAACTGCTTAAGGAGAACCATTTTTATTGTTTTCATCATACAGCTGACTAGGTTTTTATGGAGGAGGAGGAAACACCTCGAGATGTTTAGACTGTCTCTCTCATGATCTTGCTTAGTTTCTGAATCTTGGTCTTTGTCGACATGTCAACGAATTTCTCTCCAATGCTGACAACCATTCCACCCAAGATTGTTGGGTCAGTCTAGGGGGGGAAACCAAGATTCCTAATTAGAATTCCCTAGTGAGAATAATGGGCTACATGATAACATAAAAGACTACAATGCTTGGGTTAAGATCTTGACAAATCAATCGTGTTAGACATATGTTCAAGTTCCTTTGCAGAGAAGTATTTTTGTAGGCTGTTTGGGCCAAAACTCATTATGTTTGGCTAAGGAACAGTTCTTATAGAGCAAAATTTACCTGCACAAGACAGGATAATATAATGATTTTTTTTACTGATACCTCTGTTGTCAATGTTTAAGTTTTCAGAGATCAGAAGAAATATTATGATTACGATTAGCGCTACATTAGATTCCACCCTACGGCTCTTATGCCTCTTTGTCCCTATGGTTTTTTTTGGGGGGGGGGTAGATTTGCTTGTTGCTTCCAATTGAATTGGCTATTCTAAGTCTAAAGCAATTGAACAGCCAACAGACCATAGGAAGACATTTCTTTGGGCGCCTGTTTGAAACCAGTGGCTACAGCAAGCCAGCAGCCTTGATTCAGGGCCAAGTCCCTATGGTTTATGTGAGCAATGGGGAAGCTCCAGCCATCAGGCCAAATTTGGTCCATGAAGCTCTTTCCCCAAGTCATGCCCATCTGCTCCACACTTGACATAATAAGTGATGGCTGATGTGGGGCAGATAAAGAGATGTGGCTGGATCTGCTGTACAGCAAAGCTCCCTGTAGGGAACTCAGCCGTGCAGGTATTCCCTGTAGAATAATGGCCAGGTGACTGAAAGGTTAGTTGTCCCGCCTGTCAATGTTGACATAAGGGGGTGGGAACAGAGTGATTTGACCTGCCAAGTCATAAAGATGCCTAATCCCTGGCTTATGATAAGCTTGGACAGCTAGGCTGCCCAATATGCATTATCCACATCTGGAAGAGGAGGTATTTTCCTTTAAGGGAAGCTTTCTATGGCCAATGGGGAAGTTCTTATAGATTGTTGAGATGGCCCTTCTTAGTCACTTTTAATTTATTAGAGAGTGTTCTGTTTTACATAGCTGTAACCATACCTTTATCTCCAGTTTCAGTATTTCTCCTTTAGCTAAAAAGCCATTCAAAGCTGCCTTCAACTCCGTAAGATTAGCTTCATCCAAGGGCTTAACATATTGAGACAAAAATAGAGAGCTTCAGAAAGTCAACAAGCAATGATGTAACAGAAAGATAAATGATCAGCCCCCATGACTGACGTACAATACAATAAGGTTGCAGCATTTTTCTGCTTGGAAACAAAGTGGCAGCATCCTTGCTTGGCTTAGTAAATAGCAATTTGATATTTTACACAAGTTAACTGAAATTCACTTTTTAGGAGTCACAATGTCTATAATATGTGTTTTAATCTGTGACATCTTCTGAGTAAAAAAGGTTTTAAGATGTACCATGCACTCACAATGATGTTTTCAGTGTAGGGTCTGGACTAACATTAAAGTTAGGCTACAGTATGGTTTAATTTTTTTAAAAAAAACTTGGCTAAGAGTTTTTCACAAATCCCAATGCTACAAGCGAGGCGAAAAATAAGATGACTTCTTCCCTTGTCTCATTTTGTGGCCCTCTCCACTGCAGAGAACAAGAGTGGAAAACTAGGGAAGCTCTAAGGAATGGAGTGGCAGAATTGTTCAGAGGATCTAGAATGCTAGAAAATGTTGAAAAAATGCTGAAAACAGGAGTACTAATTAATGACTAATCCAAGTGTTATATAGCGTTGTCCTCAGTTATTACCAAAAAAGGAAGATGTTGGTCCTGTCTCAGAATATGAACATTTTGCCACCTAAAATTAAGAGAGCATATAAAGTGAACAGGAAAAACTATGTTTGCTAGCTATTTGTAGAGATGAATTTAAGAATACTTGACTGGGCTAAATAGATTAAAGTCACAAGAGGAACAATTGCTTGCAACAGTTCAATGTGACATGAATACTGAAGTTCCAATAACCCTTTTTCAGACATATGTTAAGTGCTAGTAAACAAAGTACCATTCATTTTGCAAATATAACCCTTCCCCAACTTCTTTACACTATAGGTCAGACTGCGGTCCTGTAGACGATGCTAAGACTACAAGCTCCATCTTCCTAGTCAATGGGAGGGATGAAAGTAGTACTCCAAAACATCTGGAGAACATCAGGCTTGGGAAGGTGGCTTTAGACTAAGAAACCCTGAAGACTGCAAAACCTCTAAATGAAGTTTTGCATGCCATTTGCTTACCTGAGCAGTAGTTACGGAGCATAAAACTTCTCCGCGGAATGCACTCATAATCTTAGCAAATGCAGAAATTACACCTGGCGTGTTTTTCAAGCGACTATTTTCAGCAAGCAAATCTTGGGAAAAGATTGAGCAGGTGTTACATTATGTACATTCAAACTGTACTAAAAGTGTAATGAAACAGTGCCAAATACAAAGAAAATCTTCCAGTCTAAACTGTGTTTACAATATTACAATGCTATTATTCGAAGCCCATTTGTGAAGCTCAACCCACTTTACTGTGTTCATCCACAGAGAGACTGCTACTACTTACTGATAAAGTTGACAGTGACAGGTGACATTTTCTCTTTAGCTAAAATTTCATTCACAGTCTTTTGCTTTACTGCACTCTTTACGTGAGGATTCATGACAATGACAGATAATTTAGGGTCCTTCAGAAGTGTCTGGATTTGGAACAACAAAAGCATCTCTTGGTCAAAATCAGATTTGCTTCTAGTCAAAGCAACATAACTATAATGCAACATCAAGGTATTTAAGTTGCCCTTTTAACTTAATATAACAAACCACGGAGAAAAGATTTTTCCCTAAGAAGGAAACAGCATAAGTAAAAACTGGACTTGCATCAGCATCTTCAGTGGAAATGGTGTGCAATAGGACTATATAAAATCACATTACCAGAACTCGAGTCAGCTCTTTCTCAACCTGGTCCAACTTCTTCTGCTTAGAAGCAGCAGAGTAGAGCGCAGTGGCATATCGACCTTCCAGCCCAAATACTTGAATTGGTGGCTTCAGAGGGAAAAAATACAAGGTATAAAAATTAATGCACAAGACAAAACTGTCTATTTCAATTGATTCTCAATGATCCATTGCCTAGCAAGCATACTCAGTCCTCAATGGGCCCTTTTTTGTGGGGAGCGGGGTTCTCTGTTAATTTCAATTTTTTGGGTGTATTTCTGTAAACTTCTGAGTTCTCCCAGGGATGGCAATACTTTCCTCTTGTACATCAGGGGTGCTGTTTTAGCTACATAAAGATTGGCACCCCACCCTGCCAGCACTGCTAATAGAGGGAGTGATAGGTGTAATACCAGAATGTTTTTTTAAAAAACAAAACAAAATTCCCATAGTCCGTTGCTGTGTTTTAACAAAACAAACATGCATAATTAGGAACTCTTAATATTAAGGCATAACTAATTTGTGTTAAGTATTTGCCAATTTGTACTCTTGCTTAAGGACATAAGAGAAATCCAGCAGATGAAACCAAGATTCATCCAAACCCCCAGCCTTCCCAGGAATCCCAGAAACTGACAGGTGCTAGCTGATCCACTGGAAATTGGTCAGTAAGGCAATGCAGAGGCATAAGATGGTTCATTAAACACACTACACAGCAGCTGCAGCCACAGACCCTAAGAGCTGATTTTCAATTGTGACTGGCCACATTATAAAGCTTGCGTCTATCATATTGAGGTTAGATTCTACATGATTGCTAGCTATAAATATGGACATTGACACTAGTTTAAGTGGCACACAAGGCCCTGCATTCTGCAATCTAGATATATTTATCTAGAACCCTGATCTTTAATTGGAAGTAAATCACCCTAACTGCAATTGAGCCTCTTTCCTGGTAAACATTTTCAGGTTCTTATCAGGTTGCTCCTGTACACTTGCCACCTGCAACTTGGTGTAATTAATCTGCACAGTTTTGTAAAATAAATAAATAAACTTACCTGTACCAGTTTTGATGCTGGCCTGATTAGGGAGGTGCTGAAGTGGCGCACCTACAGTAAGAAAAAGTTGTCATTTACATTATATTATTTTAAAAAGCAGTGAAATCCAACATTAGTCATAAATAGATTTTTTTTTTTAAATCGGATTTTTAAATGAAAATGCTTTTGGAGGAAAAAAACTTTCTAAATATAGTTTTCTATTTAAGTTACATTATAGTCCAAAGGCTATTCATCAGGAAATAAGGATTTGTTTTAAGTTTTTCATGTGTGGTGAAACTCATTCTAATGTTTTTTTAAAAAACTGTTTAACCACATGAGTTAACAAACATTGATACATATGCTATAATGTTATTGTTTTAGTTAAATAAATTGTTTAAATTGTTATTAAGGAAATTATTATTTTTCTCCTTCCAATAAAGAACTGTACAGCAGAAAAGTTGTCCAAATATAAACAGTTAACTTATTAAACTTCACAATAATTTCATAATTATCTGTTTAGGTATTTCTAATAGTACAGTATAACCAAATCAGTAATTTTTGATGTAACTGTAAAAACTACTCTGAAAATTTATTATTCCAAAATGAAACCTTCATTTGGTTGTAAATATTAAGATTATACCAGCAAGAATGTCTTTCTGTAAAAAAATGATTTAAATCAAGGCTTACTGACTAGTGATTTAAATTGATTTGATTTAAATCAAATCCACCCTTCTCCTTCCCAAGCATTTCTTGTGTTGCTTTCATCTTTTGGTAGGCAAGAACCCGCACAGGTCTCCCATCAGAACCCTACGCTTGTCTACCATGAATTACAGAGGAGCAAGATCCAAGGAGGCAAACCAAACAGGGCCAATGGGCCACAGGTCAGTATGGCAGCACATCTCTTTTATGGAGATGGTCCCAGCATCTCCAGTTGGGCTGGGAGAGACCCCTACCCAAAACCCTGGTCAAAGCCAGTCCAGAAGTCTTGAAAGTCCTACACTGGCTTCCAGTACATTTCCGAGCACAATTCAAAGCGTTGGCCTTTAAAGCCCTAAACGGCCTCGGCCCAGTATACCTGAAGGAGCGTCTCCACCTCCATCGTTCTGCCCGGACACTGAGGTCCAGCGCCGAGGGCCTTCTGGCGGTTCCCTCCCTGCGAGAAGTGAGGTTACAGGGAACCAGGCAGGGGGCCTTCTCGGTAGTGGCTCCCGCCCTGTGGAACACCCTCCCACCAGATGTCAAGGAAATAAACAACTATCTGACATTTAGAAGACATCTGAAGGCAGCCCTGTTTAGGCAAGTTTTTTAATGACTTATGTTTTAATGTATTTTTAATCTCTTGTTGGAAGCCGCCCAGAGTGGCTGCGGAAACCCAGCCAGATGAGCGGGGTATAAGTAATAAATTAGTAGTAGTAGTAGTAGTACTGCTCTAGATCAAGCACCCCCAAACTTGGCCCTCCAGATGTTTTGGGACTACAATTCCCATCATCCCTGACCACTGGTCCTGTTAGCTAGGGATGATGGGAGTTGTAGTCCCAAAACATCTGGAGGGCCAAGTTTGGGGGTGCATGCTCTAGATAGGCCAATAGTCAGGCCCCTTCCTGGGTTCCAGTGGCAGGAGGACTTAGCAGAGGAGCCTGGCTTGCTGAGCTTCCTTCCTTATCTCTGGCATCAAGGGAAGCCCAGGCTGCAGACCAGGCACTCACACAGCAGCCCCGGAAACCCTCCAAGTCCTCTTGGGGCCACTTGGGTTTAAGACTTTCCCCTCTCCCCCTCTTCCTGCTCCTCCCAAAGCCTCCAGGCTTCAGTCTCGGAAGCCAAGTGAGGCATCCTCAGGTAAGAGACCTGCCCCCAGCAGAACCCCCTCTTCCTTCCCAAGGCTTCGCTGCTCACCTTCTGAGCCAACCCTGCAGCAGCAGCCATCTTCTCCTCCTGTAGGTCAAGCCGGGCCCTTCCCCGTCCTCGAGACGAGAGAAGCGCAGGCGCAAGGTCTCGGCTCCGGGCACGCAGGCGCAAGGCTTTCTGGGAATCGTAGTTTCTGTAGAACTAGTGGCCCGAGTGGGCGGGGCGGAAAGAGGCAAGGCGGAAGACCATAAGTTTGCGTGGAGGGCGGCACGTGCGAGTTTGGGATTGGAGAAGGAACATTATTCTTTTTCTTGGGATCGCAAGGTTCCGGGGAATGCAGTTTCGTGTTCCGAGTAGTGTATCCTGCTTTGCAAAGCGCCGAGAGAAGAGTGTGCTTAAAGGAAGCAAGGCAAAAGTTTTGTGGTTTTTTTAATGCATAAACGTAATTTACACCTTAGGGAAGTTTTTAATGACTGATGTTTTAATGTATTTTTATTCTTTTCTTGGAAGCCGCCCAGAGTGGCTGGGGAAACCCAGCCAGATGGGCGGGGTATAAATTATTATTGTTGTTGTTGTTGTTGTTGTTGTTGTTGTTGTTATTTTATTAGCTACCCTGAATTTATTACGTGCCTTTTTCGAAGCGGAGTTTAATGCCTATTACGCATGAAGGCATACACGTTGCGGTCGTACTTAATATTAGCATGCTCGTTTCTCAAACGTTCTGTAAGTTTTCATTTTGTTTATCAGGTGACTGGTAAGATCCTCTCTGTGTTGCCAACCTGGTTTCTTTTAACCATTATTTTTCTCACTAGTGTGACTCCTGTTTTCAGCAAATAATAGCTTTTTGCTTGCCAAAACTGCCAGGCTCCTTTTTTCATCTAAGTTATGGCACCTGCTTCCCAGTCCTAAAGCCTAAATCACCCTGGACCTGAGTGAAAGCATGTTGTAGAGTCTTATATCGCTTGCCAGAGTAACATCTTGTCTACACATGCATCAGAATCAAATGGCAATGCGGTGTCAAAATATTCAGGTGGCAGAGTGGATGGCATAATGGACTCAAAGCCAAGATAGTGTGTAAGTGATGCCAGTTTCACAAAATGCTTAAATTTGGTTTAATCCTTTTTGAAGTGCCTTTCCCTTTCCTGGATCAATACCTATAGTTCAAACCACTTTTGTTAGTACTGTTTTCTGTAAACTTCATGATCTCTCTCTCTCACACACACAACCAATTTGCTTTGTTAAGAATGTCGTATTGTGGTGTCAGTAATTCCTAAATTGGAATTCCTAAACCTATACAATTCCTTCTCCGTAGTGAATAATATTATGATTATACAAGCAGTTACCTAATGAAAGCTATAGTGAGTGGAGGGGTTGTAGTAGGGGTTGGGAAATGATTCTCTATTCCTTTGTGTGACCATCCCTTGCTCCACTCCCTCATGCATGAGTTTCTTAACCCAACACCTGCTGCTCCCATAGCTACCAGCCCATTTAACCTGATAAAACAGAGCATCCCTGCAAGGGTCTTTGGGGAATGTCTAACATGGCTGCCTATTTCACACACATCCCACCTCCCCATCCAAAGACATCCAATCTAGTCTTTGTTAGAAAATACTTTGTTTTTGTTGTTTGAATGATCAGTTATGCTTTTGTTACTAGATTTTAATGTAGCTTTGTTGTTTCATTGTAAGGCATCATGGAGTCTTGTTAATTAAATGACCAGGTGAAAAATAAGTGACTAGCAGCTTCAGCATTTAACAAGCACTGATGTTCTGTTGGGAAGGCTTTTCTTAAGAAGGAATGCCAAGTGCTTTAGGTACAGCTGAATAGTATGTGATGGATTTTGTGGGTGGAGGGTGCAAGAGTCTATGACAATGTGAGTAATTATCCTTCCATCCCATCCTAATGTAACCAGCATCCCTCTTCATCCCCAGCTAGCAATATATACTTAAACATTGTGTTCCATATACATGTGTATCAGACATGTATTTGTTATGAAACAACTTAGGAGTGGCAGAGGTGGGCTTTTTTTGCCTTAATTCTGGTCTGAGGTCTGCATTTCTTCAACTTGCATGGTGTAAATTGTGCAGGAGATACTTTGAACACTAGATGTTGCTCTTGTTACAGATTGAGAGGCCTGATAACTAGCAGAGCCATATTTGGAGATTACATTACTGTAATACCTTAGCCTTGATGTAAATGCAGGGGGAGTGGCGAATAATTTAGGGCCTCTCCGCTATAGGTAGCAGCTAGCATGTTGGACATTAGTCGTTCTAGCAGTCACTGCCCCTCTCATCTGTGTAGCAGCTTTAAGTAGAGAGGCAAGAAGAGATCGAAGTTAGTGTGTGACCCATGAGAGAAATTGAAGCTTCTTTATACTAATGGGAAGGACTGTGGCTCAGTGGTAGAGCACATGTTTTGCACATGTTTTGCATTTAGAAGTTGCCAGGTTCAATCCCTGGTATTTCCAGGTAGAGCTGAGGATGTGAGATGGAATGTTGGTATCACATGGTAGAAAGCAGCTTTTCTATGTTCCTATGAATCTTCTCACATGCTGAAACAATGCACAAGTGGGTTGCGGGGCCACAGAGGGTAGCCCTGACCTTCTGGCCATGTGCTCAGAGACTATGAGGAGGAGCTCTAAACGTGTACCGAATCAATGTACACATGTAGAGCTTCCTCCACAAAAGGAATCCCCTTGCACAAAGAGTTCTGTGCACATATATTCCTATATGCATAGGCCTCTTGTGTGCCAGCAGGGAGGGGGGCCTGGTGCACATGTTGGTGGCCTGGAGGGCATGGTTGCCAGGCACCCCTGTAGTCCCCCTTGACATGTGTGGGGTGTCAGTCTGAGACTCCTACTGCATCAGACCATGGATCCACCTACCTCAGTACTGTCTCCCAAGGTCTTGGTCAGGGCCCTTTCCCAACTGTACTAAGATTGAACCTGCAACTTTCTGTATGCTAAAAGCATATCCTCTGTACCTGAATAAGGAAGTAATGCATGGTTGTGAGGCCTACTTGTTTTCCTTCTTCCTTTAGCATGCTTGCCCTCAGCTTCCTGCTTCTCTTTCCCATCTTCCAAATGGTTTTAGACAGCAGGAAGGGACAGATTGTTGACCAAGAATGAAGGAAGATTGCAGTGCTATTTTTCTAGAAAAAGAGGTGCCAGAACTCACCACGAACAGCTCCCTTGTTCTCTTACAATGGCAATGGTGCCCACCTGAGAGGGACCGGAACTGAGTTCCGGCACGTTCTGACGGGGAAAAAAGCCCTGCTTTGATAGTATATGCTAACTTTTGTCAGGCACATGCTACAACACAGGGAGCTGTAAAAAAGTAAAGGTAAAGGACCCCTGACAGTTAAGTCCAGTCGCGAGGAGCTAATCCTGATCCCTGTAGGCAGATTAGAATTAGCACTTTAGAATTAGCAGTGGTGTGGTCCAACAACATCTGAAAGGCCAAAGGGTCCCCCTCCCCTTGTTTTAGTGCCATAAAGGCCCAGCTTACGGTTGTTCATTTTAGCTCATGTAACAAGGCCTGATCAGAAGATTTTTACTGGGATGAGGATTTATACAGGATTAGTTTTCTCTCGGGGGTGTTTTGGACCTAGACTGTGAAGGGTGTTAGGGACAGACTAGACATGCCAGTAGCAGTTATGTTTGTTGTTCATGTATCTGTCTTACTCATGTGTAAAGCAAGAGGAAGGGGTAACCCAAACATTTAACATCAAAGAAGTGTGAATGTCTAGCTAGGCTTCGGGCCTTATATATTGCTTATATTTCACATATGTGTTGGAAACAGGACTTTCTCATCATTGCTAGAGAAAAAAATGCATACTAAAACAAGTCCTGGCTCCTTGTCCAGACAAATACTTTATTTCCTTAAGGCAGATGTGCATTGGGGCGCTTAAAGATAATGTTTGTTGAATGTAGTGTAAGTTGCATTTAGTGGTTTTGCCGGCAATGTCCAAGCAGCTTGTATGAAGCTGAAAGCTAGGACAGCACAATATTCATCATTTTTCTGGTGAATTTGAACAGCCTACTCACACGCAGAGGGAAACTTGGCTCATATTAAATCTAGTAAGTTGAAAATTCTGTTCCCCCTCATTTGACCTGAATGCTCTCAGACTTCTAAGGCATAAATATTTTTAACAAATCCCATGGTCATTTGGCTTCAGAAATAAAGCCTTTTTGTTTAAGATGAGCATCAACATTTTGGATATTTGTGGCTGATCTAGTAACATTTAGTAGAGCAGCCACCAAGTAAGTCTGGCAGCTTGAACATTTTGGGCAAGGGAGCAAGTAGCCTCTTTTGTGATTGTAATCAAATGGGATTTGAAGCATGACCCTTGATGTACTTAGTGTTCTTATTGGGTGCAGGCATTAAAACATTCTTGTACAAGCTTTTCTAATGTGTACCCAGGAAATAGCCAGTGCCAAGCTTCTCCAGCAACAGGAAGGGGTGTAACATAGCAGCTGTCAATTATTTAATTAGATAAGTTGTTTTGGGTGGTGTTAAGGGTTTGGTCTGAAATGTTGATGTTTAGGAAGGGGCCTGTTTACGGCTCCTCTGTATAGCACAGAATATTTGCTAGCTTTGGGAAACATTTAGAAATGTTGACTAACTAGGGAAATCTTCAAAACTCGGCATATCAGAATGCTACTGTTGAGCTTTGGCTGCCATAATTGTGGAATGACATAATAATAACTAATAATAAACTTTAAAAACACAGCAATATTAAACATTAAAATATTGTCTATCCCCTTGCTATTGCACAAGAAGAAGCAGTGAAACACAGACCTATTTTACATTGTGTTTCTTGATCAACAACGCCCCTTTCCCATAACTCAAACAAATATTTCATTAAAAGCAAATACGGAGTTAGGAAAATTAAAGTACCGAAACGCTATGCAGTGCTTTTGCATTTCTATCCTTTGCAGTACAGTCTTAGTGAACAGTCCAGTTAAATCCAGTGCACATGTATCAGACATGTACTAGCGCTTGGTCTAGGCCATAATCTTGAAGAGCATTCCAGTGCACCCTCTTTGTACACCTCCATATATATTTTTTTCCTGAAAGGGAAGCTCTCAGAGACTTCACTTGCAGAACCTCCCAGCTACAATTTAACTTTCCTTGTGCTCCATACGTAGTTGGGGAGGATGGTGTGAGATTTTTAAGGGGAACCTCAGAATGAAAAGATAGTGCATGCTATTTAACCCTTTAAAACATTGCCACTCCAAATCCCTAGATGTCTTTTTCAAAACAGGGAAGTTTAAAGAGTTGTTGGTGATGACTGTGGTGGCAACTTCTGAGAATTTCTTTCTCAGAAAAATGTGGGTGGATATGCAGAACTACGTTTGAGATCCTAGCTGAGATATGGGTTCAAGAATCTTTCCGCCTGTAGAAATGCAGTGATGATAACCATATAAATAATATTTGTGAAGTGTTTTAGATCAATTATGTGTGGGGTTTTTATTTTGTTCTGTTTGCAACTGCTTTTGCCTTAGCAGTTTGTTTCTTTTTATTAAAAGGGGGTAGAGAACTGCTAGCCCTTGAGTCACTTCTGGCCCACAGTATATTCCTCTCTGACCTACGACTTCCTCCTACCTTTTTTCACGGGAACTAAGTAACCAACCAAAGAAGAGATGGAACAATCTGTCTCTCTTCCTGCAGGTTGCTGCATTTCCATGCTGAGCAGGGAGGCAAAGGAGCCTCTTTCAGCTCGACCAGCTCTTAAACTAAACAAGCTGCAGGAAGAGGAACAGAGCAGCCTGTCCCTACTCTGGCAGCCCCTTATGTTCCTGTACTAGGTGGGAAGGAATAAAAGTCTTTCCCCCCCACTGGCTCTCTTATCCTCCCATGGATGTAATTCGTAGACAGAATGTGGATGAGACCTACCTGGCTTAATGTGGAAGAAGTTGTTGTGGAAGTTGAGGGCGGGGGATGATTGACAAAATCAATCTTCCTGGCAAACTGGGAATATCCCCTCACTCACCCAAGTTTAGGATATTCCATAATTCTTCAGCAGTTTTTTTCTTTGAGAAAAAGAAGTGGCTCAAGTAAATGTAAACTAAGCTTTAATAATAAAGAAAACTGTAACAAAATAACATAATGAGAGAAAAGTAAATACAACAACATGAGGCAAGAAACAAGAAGAGGCACTTGGCGCCCCTTAACTGACATTCTTCACTGAACACACACTGAAGGGATGGGCTGATTCCGGAGCAAAACACATAAGCCCCGCCCACCAGATACCATGCACTCTACTACTCAAATTAGGCCCTAGTGTTTTTCTTACAGAAGCACAGTCTAAATATCTAGCTAATTGCTTGCAGTCTTCTAACCACAGAGGCATCATGGATGGGTGTAATTACACAGGACCTCTGATAATGGGCAAACAAATACAGTGGTACCTCAGGTTACAGACACTTCAGGTTAAAGGCGCTTCAGGTTACAGACTCTGCTAACCCAGAAATAGTACCTCAGGTTAAGAACTTTGCTTCAGGATGAGAACAGAAATTGTGTGGCGGTGGGAGGCCCCATTAGCTAAAGTGGTACCTCAGGTTAAGAACAGTTTCAGGTTAAGAACAGACCTCCAGAAAGAATTAAGTTCTTAACCCGAGGTACCACTGTATCACTTTGAGGAAACAATTTGGGAAAAAGCATTTATTTTGCAATGTTCTTGCATATACAACCCTTACTCTTCAGTAAGATTCATGGGGTAACTAAATGTTACTGTGTTTAGCCATAGGAAGAGCCTTACATTGAAGCATTAGGATTTGCTTTCAAGGCTTGATTCCACTTCTGTTTAAACAATGTGGGCATCAGTCACAAAATGGCTGCCAGTAAAGGTGTGGCATAACAAAAATGGCTGCCGTGGGGTTGCTTAGGACAGGCTGAATCAGTGTAAGAAGGAACTGAGCAGAAAGAACAAGCAATCTCATGTACTGTGGATTTTTGAGGGAATATTTACTGAGATCTTTCATATGCATAATAGGAAGTATTGGCAGGCACAATGTCACTCATGAGGGCTGTCATGAGGGCAAATAGTGTTGGCCTTTTAATCTGTAAAAATCCACCTTAATTGTGCAAGTCCCAGCCCTTCCAGCAGCTCATTTGGCTCTTCTGAATGCCTTTCCCCTCCCTAGTCTTCTGGAAATATTTAAGGTAAGTACCTGTTTACTCACCCACACACTAGCCTAGAAGAAAAACCTCCAAATGTCATAGCGAACTTCAAGAGAGCAGAAAAACAAGCAAACTTAGCATGCAGAATTGAGGACTGCTTTGGCAGCGTCTATCTTTAGCTGCAATAGTGAGTCACATCATTGTGATCTGACTATGGCTAGGCTGAGGTAATACGCAGGCCAGGGGACTGAGACAAAGCATGATGGGATTAAGCTGTAAAATTCCACTACTCTCCAAATCAGGTTTATGGGGACTTAAGAGACTACAGTTATTTGTTTTCAGTCAAATAATTACAGAATGTTGTATAATATGATGTAGCTCCACACATCTTCAAGGAGTTATAAAATAGAATAATATCTGGAACCCACCCAAAATTCCCTTGAGCAAAGTGTGTGCATTTCTATGTATCTCGATCTGCAAAGTGTCACGTCCAACCGGCCCCACCAGCCACTCCAAGCTAATGCTGGATTTTCTTGGATGGTGCCGTGTTGCTTAGCAACATTGCTAGGCAGCAGGGCTATACATGATGCACAGAACTGGCTAGTGTTGTGCAGGGCAGATTTCAATTACTGTTTCTTAAGCTGTAAAATATTAATTCTCAGTTTGCAAATAGAAACTATGCTCAGAGATTAGGGGCCTACTTCTGCTGCCCCCACCTTCACTGGCGGCTCGCAAGCTCCTGTTGACTTTAGTGGAGACTACAGGCAGCCCAGGGGGAATTTGGCCTCAGACATGGAAAACACGGGATAGAATTCATGAGATACAAATACATTCTCATGCCTGAGGTAAAAGAGGCTGACGTATGCAAACACTTCTCAAGGTGACATCGCACAAATTATGTGGCAGTTATGTACAAGCACTCAAAGGGGGGGAGGAATAACCCCTATTTTTCCTAGTTGCGTGAACATGTGATTGGGAAGGGTGGTATTCAGAGGGAGAAAACAGATAGTTCTTGGGTGGAACTGTTAACAGATATATTCCTATGCGTAGGTAACAGCCTGCATTAGATTTCCAGTGAGCAACTAGTACAGTTTCCCCAAACACTACACTCCTGTTTCTGAAAGGTGTACCTAGATCAGGGGTCGCCAACCTTTTTGAGCTTGTAAACACATTTGGTTGGTTGATTAAATTTCTGTGCCACCTTTCATTCAAATGAACCCCAAAGTGGGCTACCAACAATAAATAACATAATAAAACATCATGAAGAACTGCTGTGGGTGCCAGTCACAAAATGGCTGTTCTATGTGTGTATAAAATGGCTATCACAGTGGTACCTCGGGTTAAGAACTTAATTCGTTCTGGAGGTCCGTTCTTAACCTGGAACCTTTCTTAACCTGAGGTACCACTTTAGCTAATGGGGCCTCCCGCTGCTGCCGCACCACCACCATACAATTTCTGTTCTCAACCTGGATCAAAGTTCTTAACCCGAGGTACTATTTCTGGGTCAGCGGAGTCTGTAACCTGAAGCGTCTGTAACCCGAGGTACCACTGTATATCCAAAAGAGCTATGCTCTCCCATCAGTGAGGAGAAAGACACCTACATTAGCCACCACTGCACTCGCTCACAGAAAGAAGCTCTTTGTATATTTCCTCTGTTTAGAATGGCCGTTTACCCGATCCAAGAGTGGACGGTGGTTGTGACCCGGCACGGTGGCTCTGCATCCTCCTGGAGCCACATCATTTTTTCCTGTGTCCATTGGTGCTTCCCCCAGCCATTGCAGAGCACCCTGGGTTTCTGCCAAACCCAATTTTTAAATCTGTCCAATCTGCAGCAGGCTCAGGGTGCGGGCCGTGCAGCGGGAGTCTTCACTCTGGTCCACTCTCATCCCATTTAAGTTGGCTGGCGCTACACACTGCAGTACATTCGGCATGGAGCCAAATTTCCTCTGTTGAGAACTCACAGAAGGGTGGGCATCCAATCCTGACAAACAATGAAATGTGAACATGTTTAAGGGTGTGTGTTCAGTGTAGAAGAGGTCTTCACGTGGGTACCAGGAGGTACTGGTGAGCGCAGTGACATCAACAGGTTGGTAACCTCTGGTGTAGACTTTCTCCATATTTTGAAATCCCAGGTAGATAAGCTTGCAGAATGATGGGGAAAGTCTAGGTCCATAGAGGTTTCTTTGTGCATAGGATTTCCTTTGCAGACATTGATGCTTAACATATGGATTTTGTAGGCAGATCTAACAGTGCCACACAGCCTTGATGGGGAGACTAGAGGCCCACTCCTCCAGCCCAAGTTCTGTGTATGATTCATCCTCACATATAAAAGGAGCTACACAGACAGCATTTTTCAGTGGAAGCATTTGCACCTTCTGCTGAGAGCCATTAGCTGTTGAGGGATCAAGTAATAAGAGTCCAAGTGTTATATCTGCATCTGTGAAACTGCTTTCACAGATCATGCCAAAACAAAATGATCAGAAGTGAGTGAATAGCAGAAGCAATGCTGCAAAGCATTGGGGGGTGGTCATTGTGGATGAGAAACCGAACTCAAGCTTCCAGGGAGATTTTGTAGCAAAAAGGTGTTAGAGCCAGGCTGGGGCTGTTAACAGCCATATCTGTGTCCAGTTGTGGATGTATTTTCTTCAGGGCAAGGCAACGGTGGTCAATCTGCTGGAGCCAGAAGTGCAGCAGGCAGAAGGTACTGCTTTATGAATCAGGCAAGGGCAGAAGACCAGGCTTCTAATATTTATACCAGTGACGGAGAAACTTTGGCTGTCCAGATATTACTGATCTGCAGCTCCCACCGCTAGATTCAGGTGTGGTCACCAACCACCCCATCATTCCTGATGGGAGTTGTAATCCAGCCCATTGGCTGTGCTAGCTGGGGCTAATGATGGTTGGAGTCCAATAACGTCTAGAGGGGCACATCTTTCCTACATCCCTGATTTATACCATGCTTGGCTGATCAGATTATTCATACTTCTAATTACAAGCTTCTGATTAAATAATAAGGTACATAATTTCCAATGACTGCAAAATATGTTTGTTTTGTATCTTTATGAGCAATTTAGGAGCATTGTCCACAGTACAGTGGTACCTCTAGTTACGAACTTAATTCATTCCGGAGGTCCATTCTTCACCTGAAACTGTTCTTAACTAGAGGTGTGCTTTAGCTAATGGGGCCTCCTGCTGCTGCTGCTGCACCGCCAGCACATGATCATCCTGGGGCAAAGTTCTCAACTCGAGATAACTCTTCCAGGTTAGCGGAGTTTGTAACCTGAGGCGTTTGTAACTCCAGGTACCACTGTATTATGTTTTGACTTAATACATTTTTTATTATACTTTGGCAATTGGACCAGTCCTGTTCCTGGCATTTTGGAAATAATGCAGACTGGCAATACTCCTCCCATGTTCATTCCCTCCATATCTATTGGGCCCAGAGCCCTGTGGATCACACTCTGATTGACTGCATTCCTGGAGCAGCTAGTCAGAAGAAGAAATAATGGGCAGTTCAACTATTCACATGACTTAAGCCTTAGGGTGCACCAAATTGCATTTGTATCTACTTGTGTGTCATGTTAGGCCTTGCAGTACATGATTATAGGAAACCCCTGATTTGCATGGGGCTTATGTTCCAAGTCATTGTACGCTTGCATGAAGTTGTGTGCAGTTGAAACACCCTGCTCTGCCCCACCTCACCCTGCCCTTTTAGTGACATCTATTATGATACTTCCGGGCAGTGCTTTCTTTTCTGAGGGTACGCAGGGGTACACATACCCCTAAATATTTTTTGAATCTAAGTTTGGCCTCGTTGAGGGGCAGTATTTCAATATGAGTAAGAAAATGAGATTATCCCTAGACATTTTTTTAGAAAAAAAAGCACTGCTTCCAGGTTACTTCTGGGTTTGGTGCTGTACGTGTGTGTGCAATTGTGCACATATTGGTCGTACCTACAACAGGGATTGTCTGTACACCCACATAGATACAATATCACAGCTGTGATTCTGTTTTTCCAAAATCTCAAAAATCTACACTTCTGACATGAGCTGCCATACATTTGGATGTTCCCAGACATTTAAGTGATTTCCGCCCACACACTGTTTCTGGCGGCCAAATTCCAAATCCTGGATGTATGGCAGCCCTACTTACTGAGCCCTTTGCACAGGTGCAGTGTTGGAGATCTGTAATAAAGTCATTGCTGACATGAGCACTTGGGTATAATCGTATCATGCCTTGATAGTAACAAGTGCTAGAATAAAGAAATGCAAGGTGTGAACCAATGCTACCGATCCTCTAGGTTATTAAAAAGGGTAATCATATAATATAATGATGGGAAAATCTATTAGCTCATCAGCCCCCTGCCAGCACAATACTGTTCCCTACAGGATATTCACAAGCACTTTTTCCAGTTCAGTTCTAAATTAATTTCAATAGCTTTGGCAATTACCATTCAAATCTCTTGCAGTGCATATTCTCCATGAACCCTGTTCAAGTTAGCAATTAGCAATTAAATATTAAACTTGCCCTGCTATGACAAATATGCAAAGTTAGGAAAATCTATGTACCACATGAACAATGGGATTTAATTCCAGGCATACCGTTTAGGATTATGGTTCAAGACTACCATCTATTGGATTTAAAAATCAGTTTTGTCGTTTGGGTTAGTTCTGGTTCTGGTGCTATTTCTCGATAGTCATATAGCAGTGATTGCCAGGAATGCTTTTAATCAACTTAGATTGGTTTGCATCTATGCTTTTTTCTAGAGAGGACAGACCTCATTTGTGTCTTAGTAATATTTAGGCTATGGGACGCGGGTGGCGCTGTGGGTTAACCACAGAGCCTAGGGCTTGCTGATCAGAAGGTCGGCGATTCAAATCCCCACGACGGGGTGAGCTCCCATTGCTTGGTCACTGCTCCTGCCCACCTAGCAGTTCAAAAGTGTGCCAAAAATGCAAGTAGATAAATAGGTACTGCTCCAGCGGGAAGGTAAACGGCGTTTCCATGTGCTTCTCTGGTTTGCCAGAAGCTGCTTAGTCATGCTGGCCACATGACCTGGAAGCTGTAAGCTGGCTCCCTCAGCCAATAAAGCGAGATGAGCGCCGCAACGCCAGTCATCCATGACTGGATCTAACAGTCAGGGATCCCTTTACCTTTACTATCTAGG